AAAATTCCACACTTTATTCTAAATAAAAANTTATAAATAATATAGTTCATTCCATAACAAAAACCTTGTTAATCCAAGTTCAAAACTTTGTACAAAAATTAAAAGCAAATCAACAAAGTTTTATCAAAGAACGTAAATAATAAGAAGGACAACTTGTGCTTTCTCTTTTGCGCTAGTACGTTTTCATCAAAATTCCACACTTTATTCTAAATAAAAAGTGTTTAATTTTGGTGAAGCTTTGATTTTCTTTTAATTTTTGTACAAAATTTTAAACTTGGATTTACATGGTTTTTGTTATAGAATGAACTATATTTTTTATAAAAAAGTAACTAAAATTAATTTGAAAATAAAAATAAAAATCCGACACTTATCCATAAGGTCACCCCTATAAGTAAACAGCGCACTGCATCGTTTACAAACTATTTATGAAAAAAAAAATTGTATTGTTTCTTTTGGTACATTGCTGAGGAACAATATTAGTTATAATTACATATATGACTTCATATAAGTATATTATTCACGAAATATTAATGAAAAGATAGCTTTTGGGGCACACTGCCAAGAAACAACAACTTTTCTAAATGCTATTTCGCGATTTCTACTTTCTCTACTACATGACCGCACTTTTCGCGAAAACTTTAATAACGGGCGTCATTTGTTGAGTTGCCGTTGCAATGATAAAACTAGTAGAAATTGCTCTTTCGATACCAAGTACTTTTTTTTCGATACTTACTCGATACCGAACCAAAAGGTATCGAGTAAAAAAAATACTTGGTATCAAAAGAAAAGTATCGAGTATTTACTTGTATCGATTGAACCCTAGGTATATATAAATGAGTTTGTAAAAGGAGGCGTGGCAGATAACATAGGCGTGGAATTTTTAGTCAGTCATAACTTCGGAAACATAAGGCACATGAACTTGAAATGTGGTGCTTATAGTAAGGTATATATATAAATGAGACTGTGAAAAGGGCGGCAAATCCCAAAGGCGTGGAATATTTTACCAGTTATAACTTCGGAACCATAAGTCACATAAACATCACATTTGGTATGCAGACATATCTATGGTAGGTGCTTATAGTAAGGTATATATATAAATGAGACTGTGAAAAGGGCGGCAAATCCCAAAGGCGTGGAATATTTTACCAGTTATAACTTCGGAACCATAAGTCACATAAACATCACATTTGGTATGCAGACATATCTATGGTAGGTGCTTATAGTAAGGTATATATAAATGAGTTGGTAAAAGGGGGCGTAGTACTTATCATAGGCTTGGAATTTTTTTTCAGACATAACTTCGGAACCACAAGTCGCATGACCCCTTTAATTCCTTCTGGCGTGGGGTGAAGCCCGCGGGTAAAAGCTAATCAAACAATTTTACTATAAATAAGCACTTGATGAGTGTTTTTTTAATTCCTTTCCACTTTGTTTTCCTTCATTCAGTTGTTTTCGAAAAACAACTGATAGCAGGTAATGCTGCAGATGTTTCCGCAATGGTTGCAGCAGGTGGATTTTTCGTTTTTCGTATGGTAGCTACAAATTAGTGATGGGCGAAATAGCGATTTTTCAGTATAAGTGAAAGGAGTGATAGCAATTTTTAAATAACAGTGACTTTTTATGACTCGCTATAGCTAATTTTAATAACACAGAAGAGGTCTTCATCTAAAGTGATAAAGGGATAAATTGCTTAAATTTATCAGTTTATCCGCCTTTTTTCATGAACCCACCTTGGTAAATAATTGCATAAAACTGTTTATTATTTAACTTATATGGCTAGTTACGTTTCATTCTTACCTCGTACATTGTGTTCATTTGCTTTTATGTGTTCCAAAGCGACTATCTGGGAACCTGTAAGGGTTGAATTTTGATAAAATGTATATATTTATCCACCAAAGTCGTTTAATAAAGTGATAAACTTTGGTTAAATAGATACAAAGCTTGATAGTTCATTTATCAAAATGATAAATTTATCACTTTATCAAGTTCATCAAGAGTTTATCACTTTTGATGAAGACCCCTAGAAATTTGTAATAGTTAGTTGTAATAAATTATGACAAATCAGTGTTGGTACATGTAGAGATAATTCCCTACCCATAGGGATTTCAGTCGAAAAAATTAGTGTAGGCAAAAGAGGGAAAAACTTCATTTAGACCAGATAATAGAACAACGCTGTTTCGCTAAAAGAAACGAAAACTATGTACAATAATCTGCAAAATGTGATAAATACTAGGAAAATATTTCACTAAAAAATTAATGAATGAATGATAAAAAAGGCTGAGTGTTGGAAAGTATAATCAATTTCTATAAATTTAATAAATTTAACAGCTTCTTGAAATTAATAAATTTAACAGCTTCCTGAATAAAATAGGTCAAAATGACCAAAAATAACTGAAAGAAATCCAAACTGGCAAAAAATTACCTATAAAGTTTTAATTTTTGGAATTCAAGGCGAACAAATTCTATACATCTATAGAACGCCCTTGAAGCTTTAGAAATAGTATGTCATTTCATTAAATCCAAGCCCAGATAATAACTAAAAATAAACCAAAAATAATCTGAAAATTTAATACAGACGATAAAGCTGTCTTCAAATCTTACTTTCTCAAAGAGTGATTGTGTTCATGCTATAGGTGCACGGTATCCTTGAACCAGATTCAACTGAATTGGTCTGGAACGATGGAATTTCCGATCAGACTATTTTGGGGGAGTGTCCCGAGTTAGAATACGTGAAGTTCAAAATCGCGGCAAGCGGGAAAACTTCGTCTAAAGGCAGAATTTGTTTTTCTATACTGTTGTACGGATCCAGTGAATGCGTAAAATAGATTTTATTGTTTTAGTCAAATGCCTTCTTTTAAGCTCAGATTGGCTGTATGCAAGAAAATCGTCTTCTGTTGATTTCTGATTTTCCCCTAGAATCTCTTTGAAGGTCGCTTTACAATTTCGAGCTCAAAATGTTTGATTAACCATGGGAAAATCATTGAGATGACAACATTTAGACAACACGTGTTGACTTCGGAACCTTTCTATGTTTCACATTAGGCCGGATTGGCGGTCGCTTTGACTAGCACGGAAATGACCTTACCACACCATGTGCATCTAGACACGCGCTTTCGCATTTATTGGATATTATAAAAGCTATGTGAATATTAAATAATCAAATTTAATAAAATTTTATAATTTTTATCTTCCAACTAAATTTAAGGAAAAATCCGGGACCGGGGGGAAAAACCCCCCCCCTATAGTCGGGCCTGCACATATATATACAAGTATGTATACAATTGACTTGTATATATGTAAATATATATAATCATTCATCTAGAACCTTATCGAAAACCTATCTGAAAATCGAAAAAGTTACCGTTTTTGTAATCGGCACTTGGCACGATTTTGAACTTCACGTATTCTGACTCAGGAACACTCCCCCAATATAGTCCAATCGGAAATTCCATCGTTCCAGACCGATTCAGTTGAATCTGGTTCAAGGACACCGTGAGTGTTAAACAAAGAAGTAAACGAAGTTTTTCTTTTAGAGGCGCATTTCATTTCAATGAGCTGCTAGAAGCAAGTCGATGAAAATACCGCGCACGGAATATGCGATAAATATGGGGCATACAAGAAATAAAAATAAATATATACATTACTAACGGACTATTCCAACGGAGGCGACACCTCAGGTAAAAAAAATAAATCACATCAATTTTGCTTAAATCTGTAAAAACAGCAGGTAGAATAATCCTTTAGGAATAGATTTTTATCGCTTTATTTTTCTCTAGTTTCTCTATTTTATTGTTATAAATGCATACATAGTATAATATGCTGTAATATTTTTGCATCAAGTTTTCAAGGCATTCTAAAGGTAAAAAGGCAAAGAATAATTATCCTAAAAGAGAACATTTCATGAACTTTAAAATGGTGGTAAGTTATAAGAAAAATACATTTATGGTTAGAAGTTATAAGCGTTAAAAAAATACATATTGGATGTCCCACCAGTCACAGCAAAAAAAGAATCTTGTAACGTAAGATACAAATTCTTAAGCTTCCCATTGTTCGAAAGAGGTCCCCTTATTAAAAATATAATAAATATTCACATCAAGCCAGTAGCGTTCATTTTACTCACGAACTATGTTTCCTCAATAGTTACTCGTCCCACCCATCACAAAATGTTGTCCCATCCGTCACAAGCTAAAATAGGCTTTTCTTTATTTTAAAATATAAGAATGCCATTAAAGAATAAAATGGTGCTTAACATTCCACTTACTGCATTCGAGAAAGCCGCTGTGAAAACGAAATATTTATAGTTTGTCTAAAATTTGGAAACGAATCCAAACACTCAGAGAAGCAGGTGTCATCGTTGTCCCACCCGTCACGCTTGGAAAATGTTAAATTTCTGTGTAAATTGTATAATTAAATTTTATACTTTATCAGTTTCGTATCAAACTGGTAACTTACTTTAAGTGTTAATAGTTTGACACTTGTCAAATCAATAGTTAAAGAGAATTTAATAAAAGTTTTAGAAAAAACGAGTTAAAATGTCTCACCCGTCACTTCGGAATGTCCCTAAAGCAAATGTCAAAAAGCATTCAGTATTAAATTTTCTACGATTTGATTTTGGAAATTTATGTAAGTAAGGCGCCCGCTGTAGTGTACCATTCCGCAGGGCCTGGGTTCGAGCCCAGGTTCCAGCTAACATTACAAACACAAGAAAAAAGTTTTTCTAATAGCGGTCGCCCCTCGGCAGGCAGTGGCAAACCTCCGAGCTATTTCTGCCATGAAAAACAGCTTCTCATAAAAATACAATCGCCGTTCGGAGTCGGCGTAAAACTGTAGGTCCCTCTCCTTTGTGTGACAACATGAAGGCGCACGCCACAAATTGGAGAAGAAGCTCGGACAAACACTAACATTATGTGTAAGCGCCAATCTTTTATTATTATTATGTAAGTTTTCAACTTCTTTCTCGTAACACGCCAACGATTCTTAATTGAATTGAAGTCACTTACCTGAAAGTGAATACTACAGCCAGAGGCATTATGAAAATCTCCGCGAATGACGCTGCTTTCAGTATATTGCTAGCCTGGAACTCAACCAGCGAAATCAAGAATCTTGCCCCCCACCATGAGTTTTGTCCAATAATCTGTGAAAAAAATATCAATATAAGCAAAGAAAATAAGAATGTATGCGAAAAGACTCACATCCAGTAATTTCAATGAATAACTAGACGCATGCAGTACAGCGAACAGAACAATTGGAATGAGAATTAGAAGTGTAGGTTGTACGTTAAAGAATATAAGCGAAAACATAAGGTAGTGGCAAGAATCTTCAATAAAAAGGCGTGCCAAAAACTCCCTCGAAAATGTGAACGAGGGTAAACGCTGATGTAGGCGTAATGCTGACGTTGCTGCATTTGATAGCAATACTTTATTGAATGAACTCTGCTGATTACTGCAAATAAAATTCGCAAATTTGAATAAAACTGCATGCTGTAATTATTTTATTCCTACCTTATTATTGGTACAATGTAGCTTATTGTGAAGAGAACAGTCAGCATGCGCGTAGCCCACATAGCTACGTCGACTTTGTTTGTCCGAACATGTTGTTGCATTTTCTCCAATATGTTGCCATTACTATCTTGTTGTAGAGGTGGTGTAGATGATGAAGTTGAACCGTTATTTTGTCGGTTATCACTTGCGTCGTCACTCATTTTATTTGATCTGCAAAGTGAATAATTACATTAATTAAAAAAATATTTGTACCAAGGCGAATTCATATTGGGTCGTGTTTTTTCATCAGCTGTGACAAGCTTTCATCATGATTTCAAACATTTTAATCTGAATTTTTAGAAAAAGTTTATAGCCTACAAAATTGTTGTATTGGTTTTGTAATTTTTTTCTGAACGAATTCTTATCCGCTTTAAACGTTCACTTTATTTTATTTATTTCATGGCCATAAACTACATACCCAAAAATTTTATAAAAATTCATATTAAAAATTAAAAAAGTTTGATTCTTTGAGTTTTTCTATATTTTGTATAAAGTTTGATCAATATGTTTTAGATTATAGTATACGGGAATCCAGAAAGTACGACCGATTAATCGGCATCGGCATCGGCTAGTATCGGCACAAAATTGAGCATCGGCCTTTTTTCGCCGATTATTTGGAATTTCTTTTCATATGTTTAGGCGAAGCGACAGACAACAGCCAACATCAAAAAACATTTGCAGACTGATCACAAAACTTAATCTTTTTGGTTGAAGGTGTTTCACGTTTTTTCCATACAAAAGTATGTTCGACAATTTTCTTTTATATGGAGGACACTGCCAGCAAAAAAAATTGCCAAAAATTAACAAGATATAATAGCAGCTTGAAACTTGCAGTTCATTATACTAGAATCAAATGGCCTACAAAACTGCTACCGAAATTCTGATTAAAAAGTTTGAAATTTTGGTGAAAATAAGCAGAATTTTTCTAAATATACCGCGCACTTGTGCACAGGGTATAACAGTTGTTTGGAACAGCCTAAAGGAATCGAGATAGAAACTGCGATAAATCAGTAACTACTGAAGCTAATTGGCTCAAAGTCGATTATTGCAATGACCACTGAGCAAAAAATTTGACTATTTTAAATTTTTGGTTTTTTGGCGTGGCGCCCCTTACTTATAACTACAAATGTGTATCTCGGTAATCGATTTATCAATTTTCACCAAACTTGGTGTATTCAATAACCTTCATATGAAAAAGCAATTCGTTGAAATTATTCAAATCGGACTAAAATTGCACCGGTTTCTCGTATAACGGTAATCTTCGGATATACGAAAACTCCTATATTTCAATAACTGAGGTCGTTAATTTACTCCAAGTTAATACTTACAACAATCTCTTAAAGCAAAGTTTGAAATCTGAATTTATATGGTGCTTGTTGTATACCAACTAGACTTTTATAAAAAACTAATAAACATTAAATAAACAAAAGACAAATTCCAAATGCCAAAACCGGTCAAAATATCGCAATTCTTTTATTTTGTGGACCACTATATGTATGTACATTAGATTGCGTCACTCCCCATACAAAAAAAAAATCGGTTATGAATAAAAATAGTTTCCTAAAGATGTTTTTTGAAAAAATCCCCTCACATGACAAAACGGTTTATGCTTAAAAAATTTGCATAAAAATATTTAAATAAAAATTAAAAAAAAATTTAACGGAATCGTAATGAGATTTTTGATGCTGTTTTTAACTTTTTTCAAAGATTGGTATAAGGAATACTTGAATAACTGAACCTAAACTCTTCCGATTTGGACTTGTGAGGTATCATTGGAAAGGTATTTTCTCACCCTTTTTATTTCTTTGCTAATAAACTCATTCAGAGGATGAAAGAGTGAGGTAGGAAGAACGAACGTCATTCAAAGTTGAATTAAGATGTGTTGGTATTTGAAAAAAAATTTGAGACATGAATTTACTCGTGTAAAGTTAGCAAGCGTTTTTTGTTAAAGTTACTTTTTAATCAGAGTTCCTGATAGCAAAGCAATAGTTCTACAGTTCCATAATCAAATTTTCAATAGTTCTGTTAATTAAAGCCAAAAAAACAAAAATCGCTTGCCAACTTCACGCAGCAAGCCTATTTCAGCAAAAACAGTTCTGATACCATCAACTTACGAGAAATAAAGAGTTCTGCAGTTCCCTAATAGTCCCGAAAAAAGTTCCGCGAAATTTTGAAAAACAAAAACAAAAAAATGTTTACACTAAATTTTTTTATTTTTTTTTTTAAATACTTTTTAATCAGAGTTCCTGGCAGCAAAGCAATAGTTCTACAGTTCCCTAACCAAATTTTCAAAAGTTTTGTTAATTTAACCCAAAAAAGCTAAACAACAAAAATCGCTTGCTAACTTCACGCGCAAGCCTTTATTCAGCAAAAGCAGTTCTGATACGACCAACTAACAAGAAATAAAGAGTTCTACAGTTCCTTAATAGTTCCGAAAAAAGTTCCGCGAAATCCAGAAAAAAAAATTTTTACATAAATTTTTTTTTTTTT